TAAACGATTAATGTACACGCCTATATAACAATTATTGACATTTGATATTGAGTATACCAATGCAGTAGACAATAGAGAAATAAAATCTTTCGACTTTCGACAAGTGAACAACTTTTACTTCAATATTTTTCATGGAAAACTCAAGTTCGTTCTTTTACCCTTATATATTTGTGCGAAATGAAAAACCGAAACTCGAAATCTTCCATGGAATCAATCAGTGATCAATTTTTGAAAAAATACTCGTTTCCCTAATTTTCTATTTTTTTTTTCGTCTGCAGGAGTATATGTATCATCTCTGTCATCTTGTGATAGCTCATTAGTAAACATACCTATACTGGGTCGCACATGAAATAAACAACATCTCGATTCTACTCATAGGTAAATCATCTCATAGATGTTATAATAAAACGTTCACGCTCTTCTATTAATAAGACTCAATCAATCTGTATTCCGTTTTATGGACTCATAAAAAACATCAGATCAAGTTTTTTTACTTCGAAAAGGCGTATATCGTATATCATCAGACGAAAAAATCATTCCGTCCTGTGGCGTCTTATCTAAATGAAAATCAGTAACTATGCTGATGGTGTTGAAAGGTGCAGCAATAGACCAAAAAAGTTATACAAGGTCCGGCACTCTCAAGTCTAGTCTGACAATTGAATCTTGGATCCAAAAGAGATGATGACTCGGTAGATTCCTCACGTGACCCTGTCATCACCTAAGCTCATCTTTGGAATGCCCGTAATCCGATAGCTGACAGTTTCGATAGTATGATAGTAATTGAACTTTTTGTCACCAATGTGATATCGGAAGCTATTGGACTTCAGTGAACGAGTCAAAAACCTACGTCTGAACTTAGACTCAAAGTTGAGGTTTGAGAAATATGTTACAATGAAAATTAGAACAGCTTATGCTTCTCTTCAACTTTTGTATCCTCATAGACATAACATGAATCCACTTACGAAGAAAATGTTATGCGATTCTTTGGTGTTGTCTCATTTCTTGAAGGAAAAAGCACAGAATGATTTCAATAAAATAAGAATATTTCTAGAAAACAAATTACTCACAGTCAACTTAGAAAAAACAAACTACGTCCCCTTCAGTTGTAACAAAACAGGATTACCGATATTCGATAATTTGACCGTATATAACTATGAATGATAAGCGTCACCATATCTTACCGCTGAAGGCAATCAAATATCTAGGAGTTATCATCGATTCTCATTTGAGGTGGGACTCCCACATCAAACTTATTACATATCAAAAAGATATACAGATAATTTTATATAGATTTAAATACCTCAAAAAAATATTACCGATCCAACACCTAAAAATTCTTTATTTCGCACTAGTGGAAAGCCATCTTCGCTATGGAATACTAGGATGGGGAGCAGCTGCAAAAACATACATTCATCTCTTGGAAATCAGTCAAAAACGAGTTCTCAAACTCATTTTTTCAAAAGATCGACGGTACGACTCAGATCAGTTGTATCTAGAAACAAAAATCATGGACATCAGACAACTAGGTATACTTTTTCCTCACACTCACGAAATATCATACCACAAAGCACACCTCACAAATAGCTACTCACTCATACCATACACGAAATCGAAATCAACACCTAGTACCCCATATGAGGAAAACATCAACCCAACGTTCTTTCGATTATCTGGCATCGAAATTCTATAATGCACTACCTGGACGGCTTAAAGGAATTGTATATCGTCCACAATTCAAAAAGGCCCTGAAAAGTTTCATTCTTGAAAATCCAAGACAACTAGCTCATCAACATTTTGATGATCTAGTTGGCTAAAGAAATATATTCCTGATGGAATAAAAATGTGTACGGCTCAACTGCTCACCTCAATAATGCTATCATTATAGTAGTATAGTAGGCACAGTATTATAAATATTTATAGTATCGATCTTTATTCCCTGAGTCTTGAAAGTCAAACCACGAAAATGTTGAGCTCTTCCAATTGCTTTCTTCTTGACTGATATGAGATGTCTCTGGAACTTGAGTTTATTGTCTAGTAATACTCCAACATATCTAGTTTCTGCTACTGGTTTTATGGTCTCATTCAGAATATCGATGGTCGGGGAATTGTCCTTTATTTTATGGTGAAAAATCATAAGTTCACATTCTTTTGGATTAGGTGTTAATCTCCAGTTACAAAACCATTCAGTCAGAGCTGTAACCATAGTTTGGAGTTTGTCCATGAGTCCCAGAATATTTTTGTCATGTACAATAATTGTGTTATCATCAGCAAACTGGAGTAATTGTTCTCGTTCAGTGGTAGCTGATTTCCGATATTATAGCAAAAAATGTTGAATAATAATGGAGCTATTGGGGAACCCTGTGGCACTCCCTGTGCTATGTTGAAAAACTGGCGGTGAATTTCTAGCCTTTTAAAAATTACCGTGGTATATTATTGATGATTTTAGCACCTAAAACTCGACCAAAAAATTCTTGAAAATATGAAATTGAAAGGTATTTGAGTGATGATTGTATTCAAGAAATGAAAAAAATAGTTCACTCGCCTATTTCTCGATAAGTGAGATTTTATTTGTTTCCAATTCATCTATATTCTTTTCCTCTTCAGAATGTTTAGTATCCATGATTTCTATGGCTATACATCTTTATACCGTTGGCGCTTCGCCCTGTGTAATCTGCATGGCAACAAGAAGAATTATTCGTCCGAGCAATTCCAAAGACAACCCTGATTTACCAACAAGCATTCAGATGCCATTCGATCGGCATCAGTCGAAGATGCAAAACGAGAATATCACACGCAGCAGCTTTTATCATCCTTCTTTGTCCAGTCGGCTGGGCATGCATTAATTGACATGAGATATCTGTTACTAATAAGAGCGACTGTTCCGAACCACTCGCCGATTATCTTTTATTTTATATTATTTCTTCCATTAATGCCGCCTACTGCCTACTCGTTTTCGAGGCGTTTTATCCATTTTCTTCAATAAAATAACGGGCAACAGTAAAATCGATAGTTCGAATCGAATTTACGATTGGATTCGTCGGTAGAGCTTAATTGATGGAAATTTTATAGGTGCCACCGTGATACAGGATCGGAATCTATGGTGTGATGTTGTAGCGATTAAAGAAACCTGAAAAATGCCGTGTTATTCGATTACCTATCAACAGGAATGTTATTCTTACCTACTACTATATACGACCACAATACGTACAAAGAAGAAACTAGACACTTTGTACGTTTTCTTCAACAGAAAATAGGTTTTTTCTCCGATTGGCAGCAAATATCAATTTTGCTGACACATATCAATCAGCAAAGTATTACTTTGCCTGCCTAGGCAGCAAAGTGGGTACTTTGCTGATTGATATGTATCAGCAAAATTAATAATCCATAAATCGTTTATAATTTCCTTCATATTTCATCCGAGACTTCTACGGCAACAAATTCAACTCTTTATTTTTTGCCACCTCCCTTATTTCTGGAGGTGTAAGTACTTCCAGGTCGCCATCACTGTCCATCATTTAATTATTTAAATATACAGATATTTTTTCGCACAACTGTCAGAAATTTCATGAATTGTCAAACTATAATTATTATGGACATTTCCATAGCAACCAACCATTCCGACGACTGCGATTCCTGTCAAATTTCATTTTAATTGAACACTACAGGAAAAATGAAGAGATATTAGTTATTACGAACAATCGGAGAAAAAATTATATGTTCAACTCGGCAGCAAAATAGATTGACTGCCTTTGCCTTAGCTGGATTCCTAGCCTCGCTACGCTCGGCTATGAATTCAGCCTCGGCAGTCAATCTACTACTTTGCTGCCTAGTTAAACAAATAACTATTTCTACTCACATAACTAGAATGGCATTATGTACCACGCTAAATGATCGATTAATTATGGATTGACGATCTGTGATTTATTTACAGTTTTTTGAACGCACCTTCAACCTTTCCCTCAGTCGTTTGAGTCCTGTCTAGCCTGTCACTTAATGTAGGAACTGTCAACTGTCATTTTCGAATTTGTTGCAATCGGTGACAATCAGAATTATTCAAACAATTACTGTTTGTATCAGAATTCTTCATTAAAAATGAATGCGATAAACGTAAAACACAATATTTATGTTACATAATATACTATTATTCTGTCCGAATCAGTAGATCTCCCAATTTTTTTATCGAGCTCTAAAAATCACATCAGGAAGAGATATCGATGCATTATGCGTGAAAGCGACTTCAAAAAGTCTTCTAAGTATATACATTTCGAAAGGTAATAGAGGTGTTTTTTATACCGAAATCGCATCTTCAGTAGGAGAACGATATTTGATGGAAACTGTATCTTTGTGGCAGTATTTATTCTACTAATTTCAAAATACACGTTTCTGATTTTTTTCATGTTCTGGTTCCCACGAAAAGGGATATCCTGTAATGTTCAGAGAACATCGTGAGAACCAAGAGAAGTAAGGTAAGAATTGGTGTTCTTCTCAAATTTCTGGAGGTTATATGCCTCGGGGAACACCTCCCTTGGCAATGTGTTCCAGAGCATCGCTCTTCGTTGGATGAACGAGTCTTTGGAAAGAGATGTTCTGCATGTCTCCAAAGTGACTACGAAGGGGTGCGAAGCCTCAACTCGACGGATAATCTCGCGGGGACTGCCTAGGAAGGAACAATTGTTGATATCTCAGAAGAACATCGTCCATGAAAATATCTTGGTTGAAATACCTGCGTTGATAACGACTGCACAATATGGAAATACGAGATGAAATTATTGTTTTATCAATGAAATAATGAGTGTAATAATCTTGACAAACACAACTCGTTTCATTGATGATTATCGAAAATTCATTTTTTTTTCCAAAACAAATCATGTTGATTAAGGAAACCAGACTCGCGCTATTTCGATAATCATCAATACACATGTTGTATTACATAGGTACGATTCAGAGTTTCAGCTGGCTTCCCTCCAATTCCTGATCTCACAATGTCTTTCTTTTCTCAGGATAGCATATGGTGTGGTGGGAATGCTGGAATTCGGCACGGAAGTGGTGTGCACCAACAGTCCAGGACTGATCCATCGACAGAGAGACATGTGCCGGTCCTCGCCTGACGCCATGGTCGCGGTGGGGGACGGCATCAGACTGGCCACCGAGGAATGCAGATACCAGTTCCGGAACCACCGCTGGAACTGCACTGGCATCGAAAACCCATCGTCTTTCGGGCACGTGGTCGTAGTCGGTAAGTCACAACACTTTTTACAACACTTCACGAACACTCCTCGCACTAAATTTTCCGAACCGGTGAGCCAGTTTCCCAGCGTTTTGTTTCGGGCCAGGAGCTATTTCACTTCCAGTCAGCTGCTCAAGATCTATAAGGCACAGATCCGACCTGTCCCGGAATACTGTTCCCATATTTGGAGAGCAGCACCCAAACATACCCTGAAACTGTTGGATTCAGTCCAAAAAAGGGCAATTTGTCTTGTGTGATGCCTCGCTCACAAACTCACTCACTTCTCTGGAACACCGTAGAAAATTTGGCGATCTGGCTTCATTTTATAGATATTTTCAAGGACGATGCTCTTCTGAAATATCAACAATTGTTCCTTCCTTGGCAGTCCCCGCGAGATTAACCCGTCGAGTTGAGGCTTCGCACCCTTTCGTGATCACTTTGGAGACCTGCAGAACATCTCTTTCCAAAGACTCGTTCATCCAACAAACAGCGTGGCTCTGGAACACATTCCCAAGGAAGGTGCTCCCCGAGGCATATAACCTCCAGAAATTCAAGAAGAACACCAATCCCTACCTTATTTCTCTTGGTTCTCACGATGTTCTCTGAACATTACAGGATATCCCTTTTCGTGGGAACCAGAACATGAAAAAAAATCCACACCTACCAATACCAACACTCTTGGAAAAAATGCATGACTTTTCATCAAGAAAACTAATGCATCAGAGCTTGGTCAAGACAGCTAGGCATCTGAGATGAGCTAAAGATAAATAGTGTAAAGTTGTAAAAAAAATACAGTATATAATAGCCCAGTACATCGGTTGACATAAAATACAACAAAGTTTAACCTATAGCTGAATCTACCCTGAGAATTTTATGTTTATGTTAGGCATAGGGAAACTGGTAGTTTGTTCAAAATGTAGCAGCCTTTATAGTCTCATCTTGGTGTTATGTAGCTCATAGTCGTAAAGGCAGAGGCACAGACGGTTCAGCTATGAGCTTGTGTAGCCTTCAAAGTGTTATAGCGGAATTTTTATGGAAAAACAGTAGATTCGAACAAACTGTATTAGCTTTCAGAATGTTCTGTGCCCCCGTGAAGATTGTTATTGATCTTTCCACTTACCCCTTTAAAGAAACATGGATTGTACCTCCGTACTTTCAAACCTAGTTTGTAACGATGCATTTCCTCATTCCATGCACAATGTATATCGTGCTCGGTATGATGTCTTATCCTATAGCATTCTTCACAAAGTAACACCCTATAGGAGTAATATATCTGGCCCCACATCAATCATGCTTCCTTGGTGCTTTCTCCCACGTGTTGATACACTCCATAGCATGCCGCGATTATCAGTAATAGCACAGAATATGTGACGATCTGAAGGGTTCTTTCCTTTCGAAATGTCACCACAACAACATGCGATATGCTTTGCACTGGCAACATAAAGTTTTCTGACGTTCCATCCAAGTTGAGAGGTTCTGGGTGATTCTACATCTCTTGGAGCGCATGAGAAGGAATCCATATTATGTTCGTATGCGTACCAAGGCAGGATAGGAAGAGAAGGTAGGTATCGTTTTTTTAGTTTATACGTTCTTGGAGATACTCCCTCTGGAAGGCTGAGGATAATAAGAGTATTGGTTAGAAGTTTTTGATACATCTTTAAACACTTATCTCCATTTCAGTTCTCTATGATCCGAGTTGACTAAATTCTACATGTTTCATGTTGGAATGATTAGGTAACAGAATTGCAGTTTCACATTTTTCATATAAAATTCAACAGAATCACCAGAAACATCACACAATAAAGCAAATATAGTATTCTAAGATAGTCAGATAATGCAAATTCATCAATATTATGATGTAATCATCCAATTTCATTTCTTACCGACTGCGCCAATTTCAACTAAATTGAAGAATATAAGCCGCACATTCACGCCTACAGTTTCAGTTCATCAAGACATATCAATTCTCAAGATATCTATGTTATGAAAGACATACAGGGTGAAACATTGACGAAAATAAAATCACATGATTGATAAGAGGATGAAGGTGTAATTCGAGAATATCGAAGCCCAAGGCATACTAGAGAGAGTTACCCTGTCCGAAATTGAATATTTTGTGTCGGCATCAAGACAATCTACAGGTGTGTGTGTGTGGTGCCACCCACGCCACTCATGTTGGAAACAGAGGAACATCGATGTAAACACACTGACACAAGACATTATGAGCATTTGCCATCGTAGTGACTTAATGTCTCGTTTCGTTGGATTTATTTCGGTACTTATCATTTTTTGCATGTCCCCTGTCGCACATTGGAAAATTATGGCAGGCAGATTATTATCTTTCGGGAATTTATATTCCGAGTACGATCATTTAGTCATTCATACGAAACTGATTTGGGGGTCATCAGGTTTCTTTAATCCTGGTCGAAAATCCGGGAACACCGATATTGGTATCCTTGATTCCTTGTTGTTGGCTCGAAACGTCAACTGCTTCAGTGTAATTGAGCTCCTAATCTAACACGTAACTTTTTTTTTTACAAAACTTCACAAACGATAAGATTCAGTTTATTGTACCAATATTTCACCTGAAGAAGCTACTGTGTTAGTGCAACATGTCATGTGATTAAGAATTTTGTTGAACTCTCATATATCGTTTGTGAAGCGTTTTACATTCAACTGTCGATACACTTTTTAAAAGAGAAATTATTGAAACCATAATTTAAAAACAATTCCAAAACAGCATCAGCTATGTACGAACAACTCAATTTATTGTTTCGCCTACCATTTATGATAATGAATCATACACGGAGAAAAAATTTCATTGATCACAAATCAAAAACCACTTCTCCCAAGCGAAAACCTCAACAAAATAGGGGACGAGTGAACTATGCATTTGAAGCAGATAACTCGAAACTTTTGCCGAGGTAATAACTTTAATACTTACAACCAATAGTTAAAATATTCAACGTAAATTACCAATGATATGAGATTATTTTATAGCAATAACTCTGTTCAACTAGGACGAAATGTTTTCTTATTTATAACTCATAACATATATGATGAACACAAATGGTCGAGTTTTTATATCAAGTGATTGGCATTTGCTTCAAGTGACCATAATGTATAATCTCAAATCATCTCTCACTTATATCTCAGCATCACCTTCATTGCCCATTAATGTATGTTTCATTCATGATGTATTAGCACATTATTTGAGACAAATCACTTTTCTGTTGGAAGCAAATCGTTTCAATTTTGTTACTACTGGGTGTTTGTATTACTGTAAAGAACATTGTCTATATCTTTCAAATCATCATTTATTTGCCACAGATATTTTTCGATTTGTTCCCATTGCTTTTCATTCTAAATATTCAATCGGTTGTGGCCTCATCAAAACAGCTTTGTAATTGTTCTAGTATGGCTCTGGTTCCATTTCTGTTTTGATTGCCTTTTCCAACTGCGATGTTTTGAATGAAGGGTAGACAACCATCTGATCGTTGTCATCATTCCATTTGAAAGGTATAGCCTCCATCACTTCGCCTGTCTTCACAAATTCCACTATTACCCATGGCATAGCTGCAACATAAAGAATTATAAGATTAAAATTGTTTTATTGATTGTATGATCTGAATTCACAAACACAATAGCTTGAAATTTCATTTGACTTCTAAGACAAAGAACATACGAACATCAACTATAATAACTATCCTATAAATTATTTACCTAGGATGTACATCCTTTACCTCACTTAAACCCTATATTTAATTCACATGTTATCATTATTATATTCACACTTACCTAAAAAGTCCTCGTAGAAACTCTCAAGTCCCCATTCAAGCAAAAATTCGTATTAGTATTTATTAGTATTATCCTGATCTCCTATATTTTATGGTCAGAATGAAAGCCGGTCACAGTAACTAAAAACAAATCTCATCTCCTAGCCGACACCGACCCCACCACACCGCCCATCAGTGAACATTATTGCGATGTTGCCAATAATGGTGGACTTTTTGAATTGAAAAAGAGAATGAGAGAAATAATTATTGAATGTCATCGTGATATTCATGACGAGTTCTTGGTAAGAAGAAACAAAAAATGGCGACTAGGTGAAAATATAAGAACCCTTACATCAGGATATTTCTGATTACTTATAACTAACTAGGTAGGTACTGTTGTAGGTAGTATCAAAAATCGATATGAGCTCTGGTAAGAATATAGTCATTTTTTGTTTTTCAACAAAAGCCTACGAGTCTGTATAGGAGAATCAATGGTAATCTTTGATCTTGACGTTATTAGTGTTCATTTCCTCATAATATATCGCCATCTATCAGTAAACGTTAAGACTGAAACTTTTTATTCCACATGGACTTCGTTCAAAACAAATCAATACGGTATCAGTGCGAAAAGCATGACCTATGAGAGATTATTAGTATATATATTATTGTATACCTAATATCTATTGTTTATTCATTTCTATTATTTTCATGTTGAATTATATTATACCTATTATCTGATGTTGTATGTCTGGTATGTCTGAATTAGATATTCTATACTGATAAGGTTAGAAAATGATCCAATACATCTCAAACTTGCGTACCTAATTTGGGGAATTATATCTAGCAATCGGCAACGATGTCGGATCAATGGATTTCGGCTCATGGAGGCCGAGTGGTTTTTGATTTGTTGGAAATGAGAATGAACTGGTTATCAATTAGAGATATATTTGCCGAATCGAAAGGACCGCAATTTAATGGCGAATAGGAATGCATTTTTCTCAAATCAACTGTTATTGACCAACCTATAGTAGTTTTGTTGTGGACAATTAATTTTCATTTCTGCACAATGAAAAATCGTTAATCTCGAACTGGTGCTGTTATGTTAGTTGAAAAGCATCTGATTGGCTGCAAACAGTTTCTATTCTGACGAACAATCATTTTCATTCATAACAAATGATATTACTATTCACTCCATCAATAACATGATTTGAGACAAAATCGTTGAGAATTCAC